AAAAAAGTAGTTTGCATTAACGGACGAACACAACTGACCCACTTTTTTTCCTCGCAATGTCATGTGGTCTTTTAAGATGGAGAAGACGACTGCTGACTATTAACGCGCGCAGACGCTTGTGATGAAGATCTAGCCGGACTGTTCTCTGCACTCGGAGCTGGTGAATACCCGGATGAGTTATCATACCGTGCCACAGGATGGCTGATGTTACCATAAGGCCCACCCGCACCAAACGCCACCGGACTGGACCGCGTGGGAGGTGGAGTGGGATTCGGAGTACTTGTTCCTTGGAAGGAGAAGCCGTAGGCAGCATACGCTGCCGCTGATGCAGCCGCGGCGGCAGCAGATGCGGCAGCAGAGGCAGCCAGCGCTCCTCCGGTTCCACGTCCACGTCCTCGTGTCCGCGTTCCTCGTATACTAGACGCCCCTCGTCCCCTGCTGGAAGGGATTCCCCGTCCTCGCCCTCTTCCCCGGCCCCTACCCCTGCCTCTTTTACTAGAGGAGTCCGATAGGGCGGGGCTGGCGTTCTCGCTGCGAGGATCATCCAAGTCATCTACCTCGGGCTTTAAGCTCAGGGGCGTGCCTGTGTTGCTTGGAGGTATGTCCACTGATAGATCACCTGACGCCAGCGAAACTGTGTACGAAAATGAAAATACAGACGTGAAGTGGCTGCAACAGACTGTTTCAGTTGACCATTTCTGTACCCCCTCTGACACACTAACTCTCAATCTAAAGTCGCAGACCCTCAAATTTATAACTCTTTTCCAACGATACAAAGGAGATGTAAAGACACCCACAGTAAAGTACTGGAAATAGTGTATAGTTGGAAGAGCCATGTCACGATATTTACAATGCCTAAATTAACCTTAAATTTACACTACACCTCAGAACAAGGTTGGATAAGATTGTGGACTGAAACCGGGGACGGACTACAAATGACAAACATTGACAACTGAGGCTAAATTTCACGCATATGCCAAATCAGAGATACAGCTCCTTTACACGAATCCAACGCTGGTCCTAAAATAGCACGGCGTAAGTGTAGCACCGAGCAGAAGTATGACAACTGACCTTCATCTAGACTCAACACACTGATATCATCACCCACTGTGCCGTCGCCATCAAACGCTTCGCCAGTCCTCATACCCAGACCTTCTCCAGTTATACTGCTGGTCTCAGAAGTTGGCTTGGAACTAGATATGGACCCTTCAGGTGCAGGTGGCACAAGTGAACTCTTACTTTTGCGCCCCTTCTTGGCCTTAGCTGGAGGTGTTCCATCAAGAAGCTCAATACTTGGTGACACACCTTCGCCCACCTATTTTTTTAAACACATTGATTAAGCTGATGACAAAATAACGGTGAAAAAGATGAGCTCAAAATAAATAAAGCTTTGAAGATGAACGTTGACACTAAAAACCATCACAGGTCCTGATATTCTATTGGAAAGTATTAGCTGCGAACCTAAAACATGTATAAATTGCAAAAACTGAAAGCGAAGTACGAACAGTCTCAATATATGACACCTCTGACGCTCATCTCAAAGTAGTGGCCCAATCGAACAACTCACATGACGTCACGGCAGCCATAATGGCGTCCCAAACCAATGAATTGGTGGTCATGTTGGTATACCAAACCAATCCTGTGGCAGTTGAACTCGTTTCTTATGAAAACAATTTCCTTTGCATGGCTGCTGGCCACGTGAGTGAAACGCTCTATTCAACTAAACACACAAACCTCAGCTGGTCCTGTCTTCTTTCGCTTTCTTTCTCTTCTGCGTCGCTGTTCGTCGGCTTTCTTTTCAGCTTGCCGTTGAAGAACTGTAGATATAAACACAATGCAAAGTTAGGGGTATATCCGTGCAATAATGGACATTTTTACGGCCTCGGCGCACAGGTCGATGTATTCTTTGCCAATTATCCTAACCTCCATCGAAAGACATCCCTCTCTCATGCAGTATGTTTTTTTGTCGAAATTTCACCTTCGAGAAATGACCGTGAATACCCGGGTTGTCTAACTACACCTGGTTGTAGAGTACGAAATAATCGTACACAATTCGTTTATTTTATAAGCATTTTCCGAAAACCGAGAGCTTAATTTAATCAGACAAAGAGAAGGGGAACACTCAATTGAACACAGTGTTTAACACGGATTTCATTTACAAACTTACACTTGCATTCCAGTTCAGCATCGTCAAGAAGCAAAGAAACCACTTCTTTGGGTTTCAAAGCTTCTGGTTTGAAATGACCACCTGATATCACCATTTTTTGAATCTAAAATAATAAAAAAATACTATCAGTAAAACGTAAAAACACTGTCCAATGCACACGCAACGACAAATTGCAGTACGAACCTCGCTTTTCTCTTTCGCTCTTTGAAGAATTCTCTCTTCAATAGAACCTTTAGTTACCAGTCTGTACACGGTCACTTGTCGAGTCTGACCCAGGCGATGGGCGCGGTCCATGGCCTGCATAGAAAAAATTCAATTTTGATTTGCCTTTGAATTTCATTTGTGTAACCTGCATTCATTGCCGTGGCTGTGGACTCGAAACGGTTTTTCTTCTCCAACATAACTTCAAGATGGCTTCTGAACATCGAAAAGACTTCCTTACTGCAGTTCGCACCGATGTCCGACTCAGACATCGTTTAACTCTAACTGTAAACTACTGTGGGTGCCGGATGAGTGTTGGGCCGTTGGGTCCTCTATTATTTGCTGCAACTGGTTGTTTGTGTAAGAGTTTTTCAAGAGCAGAAGTCATAAACAGGGCTGGGACCCGTTTCTCGAGCGTCCCGAAAAGTTTTCGCACCCGGAAAGCCGTAGCAAAGTCCCAAACCCTATGACTACAGAGCTGTTTTATTCACATATTCTTACTATGAACAGAGGTTCCCTTCATACAAGGAGTTTCACGCGTATACGACTCTCGGCTTTTAGGTACAGCTTATCTAAAAATGGCTTTGCGGGCCCAAAAAGTTTCCGGGGATTTCGAGAAACGGGCCCCTGGTTTCTGTTTTCAGTATTCCTGATGGCAGAAAGACGTCTAACAGTCGAGTAAAAAAATATTCTGATGACCTACCTGCTGATCGACTGTGGGATTCCAATCACTGTCATAGAAGATAACCTAAAAAACAACAACAGTCAACAAATATCACAACCATAATAACAACAACATCATCAAAGTCACACGGCGCATTTTTATTAACAGTGAACTGAAGTTGCATTACCGTATCGGCAGCCGTCAGATTGATTCCCAGACCTCCCGCTCGGGTACTTAGCAGAAAAACGAAAATATCCGCGCTACAAGAAATAAAGTCATGAACTTCAGTTAGCAATGAAATATTGAACCACACTCAGAAAGGTACAAATGAAGGCAGACACGGAAACAAATGCTAAAAAACCGAGTTAACAGACCATTTCTTGTCACCCGTTTTCTGATAATGTATCGGTACCATGTTAAGAAAATACACTATGATCACTCCTGGGATTTAAAGAGGGAGGGTTGACAGTTGTAATAAGACTTACTTGGATTGGAAGTCAGCCACCATGTCTCTTCTGTCGGAGATTTTTGAGGAACCATCCAAGCGCATGTATTTGTGTTTTCTGTAAGTCATGTACTCCTGAAACACAAGATCGAACTGTCAACTCTCCTGACTGGGTTTCATACATTCCTTTCAAAATTACTTCGGAGAGTTTGGGAGTACATCAGGACAAGATTTTGTAGCGATGGATTTACTGGTTTCTCAATAACGGTTTGTTTGACAGTGCGTTGGTACTGTAAGGATAATTTGATGTTGGAATATAGATATACGGGGATAAAAAAGGGACATGAATACGAGTAATCTGAAGAGCACGTGTTTAAAACACGAAATGGCGAAATGACGAAATGACGAAATGTCGCCGCGATTAGCCTAAACAGCGCTTCGGTTAGCAACAATATCACTGACTTGAAAGTGGTTAGCTCTCAAGAATTATATAAGTTAACCGCATCCCGCATTGTTAAGCGCCATTCCGTCAATTCGCGCTTTAAACGCGCCCTCTAATTCTAACTTTAGAAGGAACAGCCCAAGATATCAGTAAAGCGAAGAAACCAAACAAGTTTTCCAAAGTTCGAAACCAAAAAAGACACTGCCGTATGCAATATCATGAAGACTGCTTTCTCAGTATTTTTCCTCGGGGTTTCCTCAGAGCACGATGAATCACCATCACCAGTGAACAATCAAAGCACCTAACCTCCAACAGATCAATCATCCTGGTCATTTGTGAATATATGAGCACCCTGTGTCCCTGCATCTTTAGTTTCCTCAGTAGTCCATCAAGCACTGTTAACTTGCCACTGTCTGTGATAAGCGAGTTACGGTCTGGAAAATAACACCAAGATACACTCGTTTAGTGGTATATCACACTGAATATTTGACCTTGCCAAAACGGTAGTTGTTCCGCCAAATGTATTAAAATGTCACTAAGACCTCGCACTGAATAAGAAGTACTCCAACAGACCTGGAATTTGTACGAAGGACCATCCATTCGGGGGAGTGGCTCTTTCCATTCCACCTAGAGGCGCAGGGAAAAGGTGTTGCTTGGCATATTGCAAGTCTTGAAGGTCAGGCGTGCCGTACAGTAGGAGGTTCCTGCACAGGTCAGAACCCCCCTGCAGTACGCTCTGAATCTCGTAAGCAGAACTACGATCACTGCAGCGATAGACATCCGTCCCTGCGGTCACCTGGAGGAAGGACAAAGGATTTGGTTTGACTCTGGAGTAGTATACCATAGGGCACTGACTTGCTCCAGGAATTTCATTAACGTTTTAAGCAGGACGGCAACTGTTTTTCGCAAGTAAGCAAAACGTTTTAAACTGAACTTCTTTATGAAAAAAAAAATTTTCTTCTAGATCAAACCAGGCGGGCAAAATCAACCTCACAGCCGCTCAATTTGCCCAGTACCCGACCCTTAATGAAAACCCTGTATTGTTGGTCTTTAAAAAGTTAACTTCGTTGAGGATCATGCCGTCAGGCTCACATCCGTGCTTGTGCGATGTTTCAGAGGGACAACGGAGTTGAGTTTCATATTGTCAAGTTTTCCTTACCTTTGGAATGTACGTGCATAAAAATGACGGCAAAGGAGTAGGTTGTAGAGTCCTGTCTATAGGACACACTCTGGGAGCTGGATTCAAATGAAAACCTTCAGGGACACTCATCAGCAGCGAGGAACCATGTCTACAAAACAAATCCAATCAATTCACATAGACTCTACCTAGCCGCTACAGACAGGTTCTCACGAATTCATCATTATAGTCAGTGCTAACACAATCTAAAACTGGTACAGGTTTTATCGAGTTTTAGATGTGCTAGGGAAGTTGACATATAAGCATAAGCACAAGCGAAAAACGTAAACTCAGCAAGACGTTAATAGTTGGCGGCTTTTGTTAGCCAAATTTCTAACAAAAGGCGCTACTAAACAGCACCTATTACGTTTGCATATGTTGCTTTGCCTTACGCTCATGCAGTAATGAAGAGTAGCGTTAAGAGCAACTTCAAGACAGTGATTTGTCATGTGGCTAAATATCATTTAGGCATGGTTAAACTCGAGCTAATGCAGCCAGCTAGCGTGCCCATCCAGCTAATATCATTTAGGCAAGTTAAATATGAGCTTATGCAGACAGCGGTTTCCGCGTTTGGGAGTACGTGACCTGTGGGGCGGCCTTCAGGGGTTTTGCAGGGGTTTATGGTTCATTGCATAATTGTTGTAGTGTATTCTG